TAGTAATATTTATATACTTTTTGCTAGTTATGTTATTATCTACGTAATAATGTCTTCAATCTATTAGCACAATCGGGACTTACATGAAAAAAAGTCAGGCTATGTTTGTACAGAGAATTAAAGGAATTGAATCTGTAACACGCGAATGCCTAGAATTGTGCCAGGTCTCTAGTACGATCTTCGGATTCTGAATTGTTTTTAAAACCAGGATATCCTCAGTATATTCCATAAATAGTTGCTAGATAGACTGCCTCGTTGGCCGAGTGGTCGCAAGTGCGACTTCCGGGCAAAAAAGTATTACTGGGTTTTTAAAAAAATCCCAGTAGTAGCACGGAGACTGGAATTGTGCCCGGTATATGGCATTAGGCTCACCCCTATTACATGGGACTCATAAGATAATTAGTGAAAAATGGGTGTTCCATTGTACAGTGGCATTAAGTGCTGGCTTGTACAGTGGTTTTGGTCGGGCAGCGAGCTACCCATGCTCGCCGTCCGCAGGCCCGCGCTTACAGTGGCCGCAGATTCTCGCGCGATCCCCGACACCCGGAGTGTCATTGTGTTGTGAGGAGGCAGCGCTTCGCTGCGTCATGCGCCCCGCCTCCTCATGACCCGCACTAGGGCCAGACGCGTGTGGTCACCGTCGCCGATCACATCTCTGAGGGCACGGCGGTGCGCAGCCCACGCAGGGCATTCCCCAACTGTGTGTTCCACCGTGTCCTCAGGGCGGTTATCGCAGTGATTCCTCCCACCCTATCAGACACAGGTACCTCTCGAAGCTCCCATGTCCGGTGAGGACCTGCATAAGGGGGTAGGTGAGGACGCCGTAGCGTCTCTCAAGCCACTCCTCAAAGAGAGGACTTACCGCTGCAATGGCAGCGACCCCAAACAGAAGAATAATGGGGTGTTACATTGTATTATTATGATATGTTAGATATTAAAATATCATTCACAGTTTCCAATCCAAATAACACGAATCTTAACATAAACATCTTAAAAGCAATTAATCATGCAAATCGGAAAACATATGACGTGTCGATGTTAAGTAAAAGTGGCGTAAGTAATCACGATCATATCATTTTTCACTTTCCTCGCTATACATCGACAGCGAACTCGTTTTCTTTGCACGCAACGTTATTTCTGATCGAAACAAAATTTATTATAGTATTATACATTCATGTGTTAATGTTTATGGTTCTAAGTTTTTTGATTACCTACACTATAAGTTATGTAACTAAAGCATGGTGTTTTGGTTATAGGAAGTTTGATTACTTCTGCCTTTGGTGTTAAAGTCGAAATTAGAAATCGTCTATTTCTTACTCTCATAGCATTGCGGAATGATAAAATGGATTTTTATGCGTTATGGGTAACTGATTAAATAATTAATTAAAACTGTCCACAAAATATTAAAAACGCTATTTGAGGAATTTCACCTGAGACCCCTTGCTTAGCAGTCGCACTTACGACCCGCTCCATCACGAAGCAGTCCACATAAACAACCGTGCTACGAAATAAGGCGAAATACCTATGATCGAAATCAAAGTGTTTCCTGCTACCATTAAGACATTAAGTAAACAGAAAAACAATACGTAGAAAATGAACCTAAACTCCAGGTAGACTACTTTAACCTAAAAAATAAACTACCTAGGTTAGGTATCTGCAAATTGTTCCGTTCTAGATTTCAGTCTAATTTCTATAATCAACATTCGCAATTCCGAAGAACATTAGGATTCAATTAGGGGAACGTTTTTAGAACAATGTTTAACTGAAGTGGGTTACATGAATCGATTTTGTTCACTGAGAGGGAAAAGCTGTTAATGTGTAAAGTTAAAGTTAAAATGGGTAATTTTATACTTTAACTGAATATTTTTAAAATTGTCCCATACTAATATATTCTCCTGTGTCGTGGACTCGTTACACATGACATCCAGACCCGGAACAACAATCTGTGTAACACACAAAGAGTTGTTCCTTGCGGGAATCTAACTCGCGACACGTTGCGCGGCAGCCTTTGCCCAGCCACTGCACCAACCATGCAGTGAATTGCATAAATACCAATTATCTTATATCTATGAAGACATGGTACGATAAGGTAGCAACTGTATCTTTCGCATATACCAGTTGTAGACGCAACACAATAACATCCTTTTTACGTAGCATAGGTGGAGTGGGTTAAGGAAATTAATTAATAATTCTTGACCAAGGAAAACAGCCAATTCAAGGGAGAAAGAATCAGAGGTGTAGCCTTCTCTTTTCTTCAATTATTTTATGTATCAGACTATGTGTGTGAACTTTTCAAATAGACGGACTTGCTGTAGGTATACTACTTATATCTTTACCTACTGTCAATATTTATTATCACTGCCTCATTGGCCGAGTGGTCGCAAGTTCAGCTGGGCAAGTGGTCTCGGGTTCGATTCCCGGGTCGGGTAAAATATTACTGGGTTTATAAAAAAATTCTCAGTAGTAGCACGGAGTCTGGAATTGTGCCCGGTATATGGCAATAGGCTCACCCTCTATTACATGGGACTCATAAAATAAATAGTGAAAAGTGGGTGTTACATTGTACATTGACATAATGTGCTCTGCCTACCCCTTCGGTGGTAGAAGGCGTGATGTTATGTGTAAATATTTATATTTTAAAATGGCATATTGAAAAATCTTTCGTTAACTTAAACTGACAACACAATCCTTCGACTCTCATATCAACTAGTTAAATAACCAATCTTGAAATCAACTCCAGCCTTCGTGCCTTCCTAACTAAACTGAAAATTCAATTCAGTCTCAATCTCATCTTGTTTACGGAGCAACAGCCTGTTGTCGGTTATTGCCGCCATCCTGTATAGTCTGTGTATACACACACACATACATCCGCAGTGCACAAGATGGGACACCCCTGTGGATCAATACTACGCCGACTTGCGGGAATGCGAATCGAGTTCATACTATGATGGTATCCTAGTAATTTTATATAGTACTGAATTGTTAGTGAAGCTTACTTACGTGTGTCGTTTTAATAAAAACAGAATAGTGTAGATGCGTAATTTTTATTTTAATGTCCATTTGGTAGATTATTTTAAATCATTAGACACGTATTTTTTATTTTCTTACAGAAACGAATACTTTCGAATATATTGATTTGAAATATCGCGTGACGTCACTTCTATGTACATTTTATACGTAGAAATGACGTTTTGGCTCCCACTCCTAAACTTTGATTCGTTTTATCTAAGTATTATTTTATTATACAACCAAATAAAAAATACGTGTCTAATATTTTTTCATTGCCTAACTTACGGACTAATTAGATTTTTAATTTTCATACCCTGTCATCATCCCTAATGTTTGTAAAACGAGGGACAGTGGGATGTTTTTGACATTAATTTTTAAGCGTCACGTGTGTTGTTTTAACAAAAATAGAATTAGTTATGTGGATAAATACTGTAGTTATAAGAAGCCATAATCTACACGATACAGCCACGAATCTCTCTGATAACGTGTGGTCTTTACTTTGTCATAGTTCAATTTCATTAATGGTTGATATTTGAATAAGTATCCACTGTGGCAGAAAGTCTCTTTTCAGATAGAAGTTAAAGACGGATTTTTCAGTCATAACACCTAATCTAGTCTAGGATATACATTTTGGATTATCGAGATTCAAACCAGATCCTACTAAGGCAGCTAATTTTGGAAATAGGTTACTAATTGACGTGAGCACGCTAGGCCTGCTCCCTGTCACTGTCTAACATGTTTAAGCTCATAAATATAATTAGATTATGTCTGCTTTCCCCCCGGAAACCCATTATTAGTGATTGGGATATGATAGCCATAGAATATAAGTGCGACAGGATTTGAAACAGAAACCTTTCTGGTGATAAAGGACTAAGGCTGAGTTTCCAACAGAGATTTGCAATGGAAATGTGTCGTGCGAGGATGTATAGGATGCATAACACAACATCACGCCTTTTATCAGAGGCAGAGGGAGAGGTGCACATTACGGCACTTAACGCCACTGTACAATGTAACACCCACTTTTCACTATTTATGTTATGAGTCCCATGTAATAGGGAGTGAGCCTATTGCAATATACCGGGCACAATTCCAGACTCCGTGCTACTACTGAGATTTTTAAAAACCCAGTAATACAGCCCTACCTGGGAATCGAAACCGAAACCCCTTGCCCGGCAGTCGCACTTGCGACCACTCGGCCAATGAGGCAGATGTTTAACTGTTCTATGAAAAAGTGTGATATGCTCTTTCTACCAAAACTGTGCTGATCGAAGCGAGGTAAATGAAACGATTCTATTGGTTCTTTACAAACACATCGCTCGCTACGCATCCTCGCATATCTTTGGTGGAAATGCAGTTTAAAAGACGGCAAAACGCCATATGCAGCCAACCAGCTAAGCATGGAGATTATGACAAACCCTCTGAAATAGAGGAAGCCCATAGTCTACCAGTGGACTATCACAAGCTCTGTTATGATGATGAAAGATAGTATATCCTTTATTGCAAGGGATAACAGTTTTAGAGTCCTCTTTATTGCCTTTATAGCTAGCATACGTGTGTATGCATTTCTGTAGAAGATTATAAGGAATAATGGACGTAGATTCTCTATAGGGACCCATTTAGATTTAATTCCCGAGTAAAATAGGGGAGATTGGCAAGTCGTTTATCATTGCAAAGTTATTATGATGATTTTATTGAAATAGTTTTCGTTGGCAATGGAATGTATTGATGAAGCCAAGTAGGACTCGAGCGTATTATTGCAATAATGGCGCATTTCTGAAGGCAAGGCGAGGCGAGTTATGTATATCATCATTAATATAAGAAGGACTATATTGATGTTTCCATGTACTAAGAGTTAAGTTATGGAAAATTAAACTAGATTTACGTTGAGGTAGATAGAAATAGTGAAATAAGTTTCAATTCCGGTTTGTTTCGTCTGGTTTTATACCCATTCATCGTTCTTTTCTAATTCGATGAGGATGATGATCACTTACTTGATGATGCCATCCTCAATGTAGACGTCCAGATCTTCAATACCGTCATCGTTGACGACGCGGCCATTTTTGATCAGCAGGCGATTCTGGGAGCTCTGGAAAGAAGAGAAAGGGATTGTTAATGGGGATTTAAAAATGATGACTAAAGATTTTTAGTCAATTTGCACTGGTGTATACTGCAGATATAATTTTGTTTTCTAATAAAGTAAGAATGAATCTATAGTTCCCTAATTTGCTGATGTAATATTTCATTGACAATAAATATATCAATGAAATGAATCCATTTATAACCACTGTTTTGAATAGATACATTATTTAGACAACTCCAAACAATAGACCCGTCTTTATTACTTCATAACTCTTCACGCATGACGTTGAAATATCACCAGAATGGCATTTATTCATTCATAGAGAAATGAACCCTTCAAGAATTGTAATTAGGGCTATAAATCTTTGAAATGTCTTGGATGTGAAGGGTGGAGTGACAGGTTTGCAGCTCGTCCCCTGTCCTCAGACCATACAAAGGCTATGGCACAATAGTTGCTGATTAGAAAAGTCTGGAAGTATGCAAGACGCTTTCATTTTAAGAACCCTTTCATAGTACAAAACTGTAGCACATTGCTAGAGAACAAGAAAAAACGAAGGCATAGTAAAAATCAAAGCCACTAAATGATGATAAAGATGCTTGTTTCATATCATAGAATTTTATAGAGATAACCTTGGTCATTTAATTATGGGAAGGATTTAAACAAAGACTTCTAAGTACCTACTTATACTAACACTAACTAAGTACAATGGGACCTACATGTGTTATCTTACACAAATATGACTAATACACGCTAAGGTTCTCACAAGAAATGTCTCGTACCGAATATTTACCGAAGGTTTGTTAAAACAAGAAAACAAATAAAGAAACTGAATGCGACAAAATACAAAAAGAATCTTAAAATTGTCAGTAGAGAATCCAAATTTAGTCGCGATCAAAACAAAGGAGAAAAGAAAATAAAGGAAATGTCTTGAAGCGAAATGGCCGTAATAATATTCACAGTACACAAAAGGAAATTCATAGCAAATTCTAGTTGAGGCTAAGTTAAGTCCTAAAGTCCTATGAATAACACAGAGACAGCCAAGTTTAACAATTTAAAATTAAATCCGCAAGGATGTGCAGCATTCGATTAAAAATGGAACTCACTTTAATATTGATTCCAGAAACCGAAGTCGGTGTGACATCAACCGTCATTTTTTAAATATCGATCCAAAACCGACCAATCAGCGAAAAAACGGTTACAATTTTACAAATTCGCGGTTTGATATAACGAACGCGGGAATGGCGACCGGCGCGCCGTACGCAGGACCGACTGAAACTGAAAATGTGATACCGAAAATAGAAGGTGGCCGTCCCCTCGCTTATAACGCTGAACATATAACTATGTTTTTACACAAAATAGAAAGTGATAAAAGATGCGCGGATAATGCAGACGAATTAGCTTTTAACGACGGTAATGATTGCACCAAATTATTTGGAAGAGTTAGTTTGAAAATTCCACGTGAATTTTACTAGTTTGTCCAAAACGGTATGTGGCATTTTACGTGTTCGTAAAGTCACAACAAGGATGGAGATTACGGATATGTGAAGGTTCGTGGGAAATGTTTCTTAATGGAAGTTCTTCCCTGTAATTAAGGGCGCGATGACGATTAGACTAATTGCGGTCCTCAGTCATGGAACGATGGTTATGCTAATGGAAATACTTCCAAGGAAAATAGTCCATGATTTGACAATAAAATGGCACGTAATATACGGAAAAGTGACGAGTATTATCTCATTAGAAACCATAAACAAGATTACAACAAGGTATAAGTAAATTGATGAGAAAACTCTAGTCATTTTTCAAACACCACACAACTTTGTCTGACAGATGGACAGCATAAGTGCTCAATTGTCAATTTCCAAACAATACAAGAATAAAAACACTTTCCCATTAATAGAATGAGGTCCAGAAAAACCGGGTTGACAGACATGAAGAGAAAAGCGCGCGAAACTTTAGCGGCCATCTTGAGACGACTTTCCCAGTCGATAAAACAGTTTTCTTATGACACTGAACTGTTACAGTTATTACGAACGTCAATTAGCAATTATAAAAAGCAATTAGATAATTGCTGCTGAATGATAATGTAGTTTTTGTTGTGTAAATCTCTATATTTAAATAGTTCTTTGTTGTGACTGATCACATGCGATTCACAGATGTTTGTTTAAGTAGTACCTAAGTACTTTGTAGTTTCACGGTCATGCGTTAGTTCGTAATGGATTATTTACGTTTCATGAATGGGTTAAGGAAAACCTACTGTGATGTGTGAATTGTTTCCTATTGTACGGTGGATGTAGTTTGGTCCAGTTGTCACAAGAGTTACTGCAAGGTCGAGGACTATTGTTTGATTTCATATAGCTTTTATATGTTTAAATAGAACTATTAGTAGTGGAGCAGCCAAATTGATGCGAAGGGAAAATGATCTTATATTATAGGTCAGAATTCAGAACAATCGATAATATTTTCCAAACTTCTCGTTTCTTAAGCTTCATAAGGATCTGGTAGATTATAATCTAGTCTTAACTTTAACGTTTAACACTTCAGTAAAAGTTTTTAACTAACCGACCTCGTATTTTAACCACAGCAACCATAAACTGGCTGACTTAAAACGAAATGCCTGTTTTAAAACTCTGGCTACCACAGCCGGCAAACTTTTACCAGGTCCGCGGTCTATCCCTCGCCCGCATTGTAATTAATAAAAACTAAAAAGGTCTGGCTACAAACAGTCGGCCATTTAATATACATACAAATGAGAAAACGTTTCGTCCGTGTTCAAAATTTTAATTTTTATTATGGCTGACATACAGTTACTTTTTATGGGATAAGCCGGTCAACGAGCGCACGGATCATCTGATGGTTAGCAATCGGCGTCGCCCATGGATACCTGGAGCACCAGAGGTGTTACAAGTGTGTTACCAGCATTTTGGCGATTAGGAATTTAAGGGTTGTTGGGGATTCAAAGGTTGGGGTAATTAGGCTTCCGGTAACCTCACTTACACGACGAAACACAACGCAACCATTGTTTCATGTCGGTTTTCTGTGAGGCCGTGGTATCACTCAGGTCGAGCCTGCTCATTCGTGCCGAAACATGGCTCTCCTACACTTGAAACTTACTTGCGTTGTAACATAAACTACTTAACTACTTACTACATACTAATACTTGTGTTATTATCCCATAGGAAGAAGCCATTGAGCCCGGCCTAATACGATACTTACATACTTTTTAGCTTCCATCACATTTATGCCCCTTGTCAAACAGGCACGCCAGTTTTTTGACGAAATTATTAACTACTACGTGTATTTTAATTGATTTTTCAGGATAGGAAAAGTTAATAAGCACTTGAAAAAGGCTGACAAGGCTGACGCATAGTAATTTTCAGTTTTTGTCGTGTTACATCGCCGCACCTTATCGCGTCAGCGTCAGTTTCCATATGAATCGTCATTGCGTGTATTATGGTAATTCATTTATGGAAAGTAAGTATTTAATTATATTACTATATATGTATACCTACCACCACTATCCAGTGTCCAGTATTCACCACTAGATGTCGCTTGTAACAGTCACTGTCGAGTTCAATAACTTATTAATTATTTTGTTTTATTTCAGCAATTATATTATGTTCTTGATGGTAAACTTATCTTCTACCTACGAAGACTACTTATAACGTACAGACAGGAAATCCTGGAGAATATTATATTCACAACGTCTGATTAGGTTGGTGACACATATTTTGCCACAATTCTTAAATATAAAAAAATTATTATTAAAAAAACAAAATACCCGACTGCACACTAAAAAAAGAGTAAAACAAGCCCCACAATAATATTGATCAATCAAATGCTAAAAACTAATTATGTAATACCGTTTAAACAATACCTATATTAAAATACACTACAATATGTGTTCGTAATCGATAGTTAAATAAACAGAAACTTATTTTGAATACAAATTTACTGAATATAATTTATAAATGTTGATGGAA